AAAATAAAAATTTATTAACAGATTTAATTAAAAATAAATGTAGTTAATATGATGTTTCAAGCTCTACTCTTGAAAAAGGTTGGGACACTTGGGATTTGTAAGTAGTTATAAATATCGATGCATTATTTATTCCCATATCATCCCCGAGTGTAGAAAGTAAGTACAAATGTGAATCTCATTTCCTATACCATGAATCCAAAGAAGCAAAAGAAACTTAAACGAGATGTAATTTTGTTGAGGAGTAAACGATGTTTTCACCCCTGATTCTCACCCCTAAAGTATCACTGTTAGTGACGGTTAGGTTTTGACACAAATACAAACGATGCCATTACCAAACTGCTCTCCATATATCCCCTTCTCTGCTATTACCAAACTGCTTTCCCATATTCTTCTTCTTCTTCCTCCCATCCTCATCTTCTTCTACTCCCCTTGGCATAAAGATCATTTTACTTGTTTTCTCAATAAACTTCAAGAAAAAAAAAATTATATACAAAAACAACCCTTAATAACCGAGGTAAAAGAAAAGAGAAATATGTAAATAGATTCTTTAGCCTGCGATCGATCGACGACCTACCAAATCACTTTCGCTCTTCATTTTTTTGATCTATCCCTTTCATTTCAGCTTCATCAAATGCAATAACTCCTTAACAAAATTAAACAAATCTATTTACAACTTCATCAACTCCACGTTAAACTAACTTCATCAACTCCGGATTAATCAACAAAATAAATAAACTTAGATCTTCATCAACAAATTCAATAGAAACATGACCAAGAATTTTTTTTACCAGAATATAAAAACAACAAAAAAATTACACAAAGAGGGTGGGTGTTGCTTGATTGAGACAACCAATTGCTTGATTTGAGTTGTGTGTTGTTGGCATCTAGGCTGAAGAGAGTGGGTGTTTGTTGGTCATGGCGGCCTCGTGACACGAACAACGCTGGGGTTTTGCCGCCGACAATGTCGTGGCAGTAGAAGTGGAGGTGGCTGAGCTTTTGCTTTTTGAGGCCAAGAGATTTTGGAAAAAGGGTTTTGGAGAAGTGGTTGGATTTTGCAGAGGTTAGGGTGAAGGAAAGGAGGATTATGAGGAGAATTTGGATGAGTTTTGGGATGGTGGATGCGGCAGCAATGGTGGCCATGGCTTTTGTGAGGTTTGGGGTGGATTATATCATTAAAAATTTCGATCTAATATATTATTAACATTTATTTTGAGTTTTATTAATTTGGATTGATTTGAGTTTTGTGTTGTTTGGATTCTGATTTGTTTAAAGTTTTTGGATCTTGGGTGTTTTAAAATATAGTTAATGACAAATTTGGCCTTGAACTGTTAAAAGAAACAAACAGACAGTGTTAACTTGAAGGTGGAAATCTGGAATTTATGAAAGTGGGCACTTATCCATTTCGCGAACATGTGGTTTACTCTTTTGTTGGGTGGTAATAACTGCTTCAAGCCTTTAACATATTTCATCTAAAAAACACAGCATAAGCATTTCATGATGTGGACATACTAATAATCATTATACAGACTACCCAAAAAAAAAAATCATTATATTTTGTGTAAAAAAAAACCTATATCTATAGATGTGCTTACCCAAATTGTGAGTATAACCAGCACTGCCAGTATCCATTGTATAGAACTTCATTAGGATGAACTTGATTGGGAATCTTTCATATATTGCTTCACATGCCCCAAGCCTGGCACAGAGGTGCATAGGGTTTGCCAAGAACCCAGAGCATAACTGGAACAGCTGTCTCTGGAAGCTAAACTTATTCCCCTACGCCATCCCTATTAAAGAAAAGACAACATTAAGCATCTAAAGCCATGAGAAGATACCAATAAAAACAATTAGAAGTTTTTGTCTCCTGGTAACACCGTTAGGCAGAATTAAAATATATTATCTAGCAAATTATAGCTAATGATGCAGTTGAAATAATTATCTAGCATATTATACCTAACACAAACAGCTCTTCTTACATGCCCCATGTTGCTATAGTTATTTGCATGCAGTGTTTGAATGACTCTTACCATAGAGAATTTTGGGAGACACATCTAGGATACTTAAATTATTCAGGAGGTAAAAGACTATAGACAGATTGAATTCAGAAGAAAGTTTTTTTTTTTTTTTTTTTTTTTGATAAGAAAAAAAAAAATAAAAATAGATAACCGCAAAGGCCCAAGTACATTGATGTTAACATAATTTTGGACAATGTGTATTACCTTTTCTTCAACCTTGCACTAATTATACACTTCATTTAATGATTAGTTTTTGTTGGATTCAAGCATTAGCATGGATCCACAAAGATTACCTGACCAGCATAGGAACATCAATGCATGATGGGGAATTCCTTTCTTCTTCTCCATCTTTCAACCGCTTTGTGTATTCCTACTTAATCTACTCTCATATCAGTCCATAGATAATTCAAGTATCCAAGATTCTGCTGCTGCGTCCTCTCATCTTATTCTCAAGAAGAAGCTTTTAGGTTCGACCTCATTAGCTTCCAGATCCCAATTCTATCTTCATTATGTCTGCTACATGAGGTTGCTTGAAAGAATCTAGTGCATCTAAACCAGATCTTGCGAATAATGGGAACCTACATTTCTCAAGTTATTCTCCTTTACTGAACCATAATAAGGACCCAGGATCCCATTCATCTTCAATTTCTCAGTTTCTTTGCTTTCATGCTCATTGATCCCAGCATCTTTTGAACTGGATGCTGTGTCGGATCAAGAAATCTTTTCAAAATACTACTATCTTCATGATCGAATGACGAAAGGGTCAATGGGATTTCCTCCTGAAGAAATATGCCAACCCATCTCTATCTTGTTTGTTTAAGTTACCCACTCAGAGTTTCTCAAGAATTTCCCCATGATGGGTCCACTAGCTTTTCTCCACTTGATTTATTTGTTCCCTAATGGTCCAATAAATTGCTTATGTCGAAAATCACATCCTCCATCGTTCGAGATTTGTCGATCATAGCTGACGAGCTGACTGCTCTTTCAAAGTCTTCCAACTAATTAGAGAAACACACCGATGAGATAACTATAAACAAAATGAAAAATTCAAGTTTGACATCGGTTATACCTGCCACTTGTTTGTTTCAAGTATGTTGCCAGATCACGCATATGAAATCTATGGAAGAAAGAAACCTTTGGTCTTGATGGTCCCCTTGAACAAGACTTTGCTCATGCAAAAGAAACGATATTTGATTCCATCCTAAATATAAAACCACACCTTATGTTTAAAAGTGATTCAAGAGTACCATATGAGCAAATGACCAACCAAATCAGTATAACTTCCAAAAAGTAACATAATTAAAGAACGGAAAACTGTACTAGCATTTGAAAGTGTGCAAATATTTCTACAGCACCATCAAATGAGCCATTGAAAACACTATCAACACTTCAAGTAAGAATGTTAAAACTATATCTTGTGCCTAACTTAGAAATACACAGTTAAAAATGAAGCTGATTTAACTTTTATGGTCAAAACAAAAAGAAGCTACAAAAATTTAATCTCTCTCCTTCGAAAAATACACATAAAAATTATTTTCAAACAACAACATGGATAACTCTCAATTCTTCAAATTTTACACTCAAGTCCTTCAAAAGATATCCTATTGAGCATAACAAAAAATACAAACAAAGCTACAAATTTCAAAAATCAGCAAAGAATTTTCTCAAGCTTCTAAAATTCCTAGCAGAGGTCTGTCTGTTTGATATTTCCCCAAAAAAAAAATCTATAAAATGAGCTAAATAAAAAAGCATTGTACATTTTGCTATATGTAAAAACGGAAAAGAAATTTGAAACTAAAAAAAAAAAAAACGACCTGTCGGCTGAGTCTTGAACCACTTCGGCTGCGAAAAGAGCGGGTCGAGTTCCCATTGGTGTAAACTCGAAGTCATTTCTATATATAAAATTATATCATACAATTGAAGCTATACAAACAATGAATAAAAAGTATATATAATCCTAAATTTCTTCTAAGAATTCAACTAAAAAACAATTAGGGTTTTAGAGAGGTAGGAAAATTTGGAGTTGGTGCAAAGAGAACGAAGAGGTTGGTTGGGTGCTTTTGGTCGTTTCCTGGTTTGAGCATTGCATCGCATTGCCACGTGTCCCCTGACTCCAAACGACAGGTTTTCTTTTTATTCTTGAAGAGGTGACTGTGATTGTTGGTTTGTGAAACGGTCTCCCGCTTTTCAACCAACCTGGTAATTTACTCTTAAAAATCTTAAATTATGATTATTTAAAATAATTAACTAAAACTTTTTTTTTTTTTTTTTGTAACGTTTTAAATAAATTCTTTTTAAGGATGTAAAATTTTAATATAAGTTATTATCCAATTAAAATAAAATTTATTAACAGATTACCATTATCCAACGGCTGAAATCTACCCACACTTCATGTTGCCGATCTCTCACGCAATGACAATGACACCAAGTAGCGTGATTCCTATGACGGTCACGCAACAATTATGTGGTGGTTGCACCGGTAGGGTCAAAATTAGTAAATTAATTTTGTTAATATTTTAATTTAACTCAATAAATTATAAAATAATTAAATTTTAAATAAATTGCTTTAAGAGTAACAATTGGAAGAAAAAAAAACCGAGGGCAGGAAGAAATTTCATGCAATCCATACCCCTAGAATGCCAATTGCTCTCAAATTTGGGAGGAATGATTATAATTATATTCCCCCATTTTTAGGGGAATGGTCATTCCTAATCCTATGGAATATGATTCTCCCCAACATGAGATTAAAGTAAACAAGGAATGGGCATTCCCGTTTAGCCGGCAAAATAAACATGCCAATAAGAGAATAATTGATGCATAACATAGAATGAAAAAGTCTTGGCTCCCATAAGTGTTATATACAATTAAAGCCCAAATACTAAAGATGTAAAAATGATTTCCCGAAATAACTGCTTAACCGTTTACTTTTATCTATTAAAAATAAAAAAATAAAAAATTGACAAAATCTTAATCTTTCAACTTAGCATGCATGAAACAAGCACTGGCACATTTATCATTAAACCATCCAAATGGCAACCCAATTACTCAACTACTGTAATGCTTGAAGATAATGGCATAACTTATATATTAGCCATGAAATAAAGTGGTAATATAGCAAACACAAAAAAAAAAGAACATGGACATACCATTTATGCATGGCTTTTTTCTTTCTTTCTTTCTTTTGGCTAAAAAAATGAATTAACATTCAATGTAAATGTTCCTTCCAAACGCATGAAATGATAGCTACTTCTAGCAGAACCCAGAATTTCTTTATTACTATGCAACACGACATTAGTGACAATCTGCTAAATGCTCAAGAACTAGCAGAAACAATTAGGGATAGGCAACCGCTGAAAGAAGGTTTTTAATTAAATCTGTGGAAGGCTCGCAAAATAAACAACTATAGTTAGATGATCAGTAATGCATATTTTCACACCTGAGCAATTATATGAGGGTCAATGTAGGAGAATCATCAATGTTCCTCCCTTCTGAAGCTTCACAACGATTTATAAGTGCAGCAATGGCAAAATGCAACTATTGACATACGTGTTTACACAACCCGGGAAACCAGTATACCTGCAAGAAGAAAAAATAGAAATATTAACTTTATTTTTCCATCTGATTCCTGACAAAGGATAATCAAATACATAAATAAAGAGAAAACAAATATGATGCTCTATCATACTAAGAATTCAGCATTATGCTGAATAACTCACTCAGAGTCTCCAAAGAATGTCTATTGTTAATCCATTCTACTTGCAAACTATAACTTTCCTTTCTCTTACTTGCACAAAGAAAGGTTTTTCGGGGGTTGGAGTCAACAAGATACTTTGTTTTGGGTAAGTCTCCTCCTTTTGAAGATGAATATGAAGTGAAATTATCATTTATGCGAGTCTTATGTATAATCCATTTGGATTATAATTCTTCTTTTTACATGGTTTTCAATCAATACTTGCAAACGAAACTGATTTTAGAGATTTCATTACAGAGCTCACCCAATCAAATAAAGATGACTGCTATGGGATCATCTAACTAATATGAGAAATATTTTAGGAGTTTTACAGAATAAAAAAAATGTGAAGAGAAAAACATGAAACCTGTTATGACACAAGCATGACATACATGATAATATCATACCACTGGAGCATGATAGGCCTACCTACTCAAAATTAAACACCACACGACACAAAGCACGAATGCATCATTTGTGGACATGGCAAGCACATTTGAATCGTCTAGTCTAAGATCATGACTTTCCTATTCGTAATTTTAATTTAAAAAAATAAAACATTTCTTTGGCAAATTGAATGCAAATTGGCAAAGAAAGTTTTCAAAAGTATGCTGATGGATGTTGACATTAAATTACTTCTCATTGAGATAATAGCCATAGTTGGCCATGTATGCATGCATGCACGTATGTAAGTATCCCTTTCTAAGGAATAATTGTACCTTTTACAGCAAGGTACATATATCTTGCTAAATTGTATGTTTTAGATTTAGATTTCAATTAATATATTATGAGGAGGAATTGATTCCACAATGACCAATATAGACTGTTCTCTACTGCATGAGTTCATTGTTAAAGGCCCAAAACCAGATAGATTTTCAACCATTCAATCAGATCTTCAAGATTGAACTAAAATTATCCAGCCTTGAGCAACAATACTAGCAAGTAAAAACCTTAAAAAATTCTTATGCAAAGCAGAGAAAGTCTTCTGATTTATTTTGCCACTGGCATCCGTTAATTTCTAAATAGAACATTTCATGCACAAATTTCAGATGATAAAATCAGATTTAGTGCTGAGAAATCAGATTTAGTGCTGAGAATCTAGTATTACAACTGATTTCTGCATTTCAAAACACAGCATAAGCATTTTCACGATGTGGACATACTAATAATCATTATACAGACTACCCAAAAAAAAAATAATCATTATATGTTATTGTGTAAAAAAAAACCTATATCTATAGATGTGCTTACCCAAAATTGTGAGTATAACCAGCACTGCCAGTATCCATTGTATAGAACTTCTATTAGGATGAACTTGATTGGGAAATCTTTCATATATTGCTTCACATGCCCCAAGCCTGGCACAGAGGTGCATAGGGTTTGCCAAGAACCCAGAGCATAACTGGAAGCAGCTGTCTCTGGAAGCTAAACTTATTCCCCTACGCCATCCCTATTAAAGAGAAAGACAACATTAAGCATCTAAAGCCATGAGAAGATAAACCAATTATAAAAACAATTAGAAGTTTTTGTCTCCTGGTAACACCGTTAGGCAGAATTAAAATATGATTATCTAGCAAATTATAGCTAATGAATGGCAGATGAAATAGATTATCTAGCATATTATACCTAAACATAACAGCTCTTCTATTCATGCCCCCATGTTGCTATAGTTATTTGCATGCAGTGGTGAATGACTCTTAGACTCAATAGAGAGATTTTGGGAGACACACCTATGATCTTAAATTATTCAGGAGGTAAAAAGACTATAGACAGATTGAAATTCAGAGAAAAGTTTTTTTTTTTTTTTTTTTTTTTGATAAGAAAAAAAAAATAGATAACCGCAAAAGGGACCTAAGTACATTTGATGTATACATAATTTTGGACAATGTGTATTACCTTTTCTTCAACCTTGCACTAATTATACACTTCCTATTTAATGATTAGTTTTTGTTGGATTCAAGCATTAGCATGGATCCACAAAGATTACCTGACCAGCATAAGGAACATCAATGCATGATGGGGAATTCCTTTCTTCTTCTCCATCTTTCAACCGCTTTGTGTAATTCCTACTTAATCTACTCTCATATGCAGTCCATAGATAATTCAAGTATCCAAAGATTCTGCTGCTGCGTCCTCTCATCTTATTCTCAAGGAAGAAGCTTTTAGGTTCGACCTCATTAGCTTCCAGATCCCAATTCTCATCTTCATTATGTCTGCTACATGAGGTTGCTTGAAGAGAATCTAGTGCATCTAAACCAGATCTTGCAGAATAATGGGAACCTACATTTCTCAAGTTATTCTCCTTTACTGAACCATAATAAGGACCAGCATGGATCCCATTCATCTTCAATTTCTCAGTTTCTTTGCTTTCATGCTCATTGATCCCAGCATCTTTTGAACTGGATGCTGTGTTCGGATCAAGAAATCTTTTCAAAATACTACTATCTTCATGATCAGAATGACCGAAAGGGTCAATGGGATTTCCTCCTGAAAGAAATAATGCCAACCCATCTCTATCTTGTTTATTTAAGTTAACCCACTCAGAGTTTCTCAAGAATTTCCCCATTGATGGGTCCACTAAGCTTTTCTCCACTTGATTTATTTGTTCCCTAATGGCTCCAATAAATTGCTTATGTCTAGAAATCACATCCTCCATCATTCGAGATTTGTCGATCATAGCTGACGAGCTGACTGCTCTTTCAAAGTCTTCCAACTAATTAGAGAAACAACCCTGATAAGATAACTATAAACAAAATGAAAAATTCAAAGTTTGACATCGGTTAATACCTGCCACTTTGTTGTTTCAAGTATAGTTGCCAGATCACGCATATGATAATCTATGGAAGAAAGAAACCTTTGGTCTTGATGGTCTCCTTGAACAAGACTTTGCTCATGCAAAAGAAGACGATATATTGATTCCATCCTAAATATAAAACCCACAACCTTATGTTTAAAAGTGATTCAAGAGTACCATATGAGCAAATGACCAACCAAATCAGTATAACTTCCAAAAAAGTAACATAATTAAAGAACGGAAAAACCTGTACTAGCATTTGAAAGTGTGAAAATATTATTCTACAGCGCCATCAAATGAGCCAATGAAAACACTATCAAACACTTCAAAGTAAGAATGTTAAAACTATATCTTGTGCCTAACTTAGAAATACACAGCTTAAAAATGCAGCTGATTTAACTTTTATGGTCAAAACAAAAAGAAGCTACAAAAATTTAAACTCTCTCCTTCGAAAAATACACATAAAAAATATTATTTTCAAAACAACAACATGGATAAACCTTCTCATTCTTCAAAATTTATACACATCAAGTCCCTTCAAAAGAAGATTCCTGATTGAGCATAACAAAAAATACAAACAAAAGCTACAAATTTCAAAAATCAGCAAAGAATTTTTCTCAAGCTTCATAAAATTCCTAAGCAGAGGTCTGTCTGTTTGATATTTCCCCAAAGAAAAAAATCTATAACAAATGAGCTAAATAAAAAAAGCATTTGTACATTTTGCTATATGTAAAAAAGCGAAAAGAAATTTGAAACTAAAAAAGAAAAAAAAAAAAAACCGACCTGTCGGCTGAGTCTTGAACCACTTCGGCTGCTGAAAAGAGCGGGTCGGATTCCCATTGGTGTAAACTCGAAGTCATTTCTATATATCTAAAATTATATCATACAATTGAAGCTATACAAACAATGAATAAAAAGTATATATAATCCTAAATTTCTTCTAAGAATTCAACTAAAAAACAATTAGGGTTTTAGAGGAGGGATGAGGAAAATTTGGAGTTGGTGCAAAGAGAACGAAGAGGTTGGTTGGGGTGCTTTTGGTCGTTTCCTGGGTTTGAGCATGTAGCCATCGCATTTGCCACGTGTCCCCTGACTCCAAACGACAGGTTTTCTTTTTTATTCTTGAAGAGGTGATTGTGACTGTTGGTTTGTGAAACAGGTCTCCCGCTTTTCAACCAACCTGGGTAATTTACTCTTAAAAATCTTTAAATTATGATTGATTTAAAATAATATTAACTAAAAACTTTTTTTTTTTTTTTTTGTAACGTTTTAAATAAACATTCTTTTTAAGGATGTAAAATTTTAATAATTAAGTTATTATCCAACATTAAAATAAAAATTTATTAACAGATTTAATTAAAAAATAAATGTAAGTTAATATGATGTTTCAAGCTCTACTCTTGAAAAAGGTTGGGACACTTGGGATTTGTAAGTAGTTATAAATATCGATGCATTTATCCCCATATCATCCCCGAGTGTAGAAAGTAAGTACAAATGTGAATCTCATTTCCTATACCATGAATCCAAAGAAGCAAAAGAAACTTAAACGAGATGTAATTTTGTTGAGGAGTAAACGATGTTTCCCACCCAAGGTTTAGTGAAAAAACAAGTTTCACCACCCTGATTTCACAAATCTATTTCGATCCTTACAATAACACTGTTAATGACGGTAGGTTCAGACACAAATACAAACGATGCTATTAGCAAACTACTCTCCACATACCCTTCTCTGCTATTACCAAACTGCCTTCCATATTCTTCTTCTTCTTCTTCATCCCTCCTCCCATCTCATCTTCTTCTACTCCCCTTGGCATAAAGATCATTTTATTGTTTTCTCACAAACTTCCAAGACAAAAAAAAAAAAAAAAAAAAAAAAAAAAAAAAAAAAATTATATACAAAAACACACCCTTAGTAACCAAGGTAAAAGAAAAGAGAAATATGTAAAATTAGATTCTTTAGCCTGCGATCGATCGACGACCTACCAAATCACTTTCGCTCTTCATTTTTTTGATCTATCCCTTTCATTTCAGCTTCATCAAACGCAATAACTCCTCAGTCCTCACCAATCAACAAAATTAAACAAATCTATTTACAACTTCATCAACTCCACGTTAAACTAACTTCATCAACAAAATAAATAAACTTAGATCTTCATCAACAAACTCAATAGAAACATGACCAAGAATTTTTGTTACCAGAACATAAAAACAACAAAAAAATTACACAAAGAGGGTGGGTGTTGCTTGATTGAGACAACCAATAGCTTGATTTGAGTTGTGTGTTGTTAGCATCTAGGCTGAAGAGAGTGGGTGTTTGTTGGTCATGGTGGCCTCCTGACACGAACGACGCTGGGGTTTTGCCGCCGACAATGTCGTGGTAGTAGAAGTGGAGGTGGCTGAGCTTTTGCTTTTTGAGGCCAAGAGATTTTGGGAAAAGGGTTTTGGAGAAGTGGTTGGATTTTGCAGAGGTGAGGGTGAAGGAAAGGAGGATTATGAGAAGAATTTGGATGAGTTTTGAGATGGTGGATGCGGCAGCAATGGTGGCCATGGCTTTTGTGAGGCTTGGGGTGGATTATATCATTAAAAATTTCGATCCAATATATTATTAACATTTATTTTGAGTTTTATTAATTCGGATTGATTTGAGTTTTGTGTTGTTTGGATTCTGATTTGTTCAAAGTTTTTGGATCTTGGGTGTTTTAAAATATAGCTAATGACAAATTTGGTCTTTAACAGTGTTAATTTAAAGGTAGAAATCTGGAATTTATGAAAGCAGGTGACACTTACCATTTCGGGAACATGCTGTTTACTGTTTTGTTGGGTGGTAATGGTACTATCAACTGCTTCAAGCCTTAACATATTTCATCTAATCACCAATAAAAGAGCCTCCTGGGATGAAAACCAATATCTTGCTTTGAGAGGAAATGCCCATAATCCACAAACAATAAAAAAAATTACACCAATTAATGAGGTTTAATCTCCTTATTTCTCCGTGAGATTGTTTAATATAAAACGAATCTACTATTATTGAAAAGTATTGTACACCCTTCTAAGATTATCAACCCCCTACCCCTAATATCAAAAATTCCCATATAAAACTATCAGAAAACCCCCAACAAGGATTGCATTTAATAGTAAACGATCTCACATGGTATAAATGAAATAAACCCCAAATTAATGAGGTAGATCACATCTCAAAGTTGCATTAACACACGTACGATGGAGATAGCCATTTCCAAATCGACTTTGAGTCAATCGTATGGGCGAGGTCTATAAGAGCACTCTCAGTTTTAATCAGGTTACAGGACAAGTTTACAAGCACCATTGAGTGTGCCGCCATCAAACACATACACATGGGAATTCAACATTCATTTAAAAAAAAAAAAAAAAAAAAAAAAAGAGTAAAATATCAATTTATTGTACCTTCTCTGGTTAGTTAATTCAATGGTAAAGAATAACATCAATAAAATTATTTCTTAAACAAAGTACTGAACCATCTGAATTTCTTTCTCGTTGAAACCACATTTCTCGTAGAATGCTTTATTGTCAACACTGCAATCAAGAATTACCTTGTAACACCCCATATCATGAGCATGGTTTGTAAGGAATTTGATTATCTTCTTTCCTAATTGCATTCCTCGTGCACCGGCATCAACCACAACATCTTCAATATGCCCAACTTTTCCACAATTTCTCAGAAACTTTTTTTCAATGAACATACTCCCAGTTGCAATAATTTTCCCAGAATGATCATCCTCAATCACACAAACAATATGGTCATCACCATAGGAACTCAGTTCTTGAAATCGCTCTTCAAATTGCTTGTCAGATACGGAATCACAAACACTTAGTTGTTGCAACAACTCTATGAAACCCTTGCTTTTGTCTGTGATCTCCAATTTCCGGACTTGAAATTTGTTTCCCTCATTGGGCAAGTCAGTGTTCTGCATCCTGGTCAGACCTTAGTTCTCTGCCAAGTAACTAGTAACTGCGATTTGCCAATCTACAAACAAATAGATAGCATTAGATCTGTTAAAAAATTAATTCTCATAAATGATCAAATAATCTATAATACTTAACAAAATGCCAACAAGCAAGCATTTAGTGTACAGGTGAAGCAGCCTTGAAAGTGACTCTACACATCATATATGTAATTCAACAAATTTCATAAGGTGTGTTTTATTATTTTGGGTAGGATTTTTGAAAAAATTGAGTTGGGTGGTTATTATGAGGTAGGATTTGAAAATTAACAAAACCACCCCCCTAGGTTTGTTGATTTAGCTAAACACCTCTATAATAAAATATTGAAAATTAACAAAAACACCCCCACTCACTCATCAAATGCTGGCAGCTGGCCACCACCGCTGGAGGGTGGTCGGCAGTCGCCATAATGGCGCACGATCGGCAAGATCTAGCCGGTCGTGTATCGATATGGCCTTTTCCGGCAAGATTCACAGTGGATCTGGTCGAAAAAGGCTAGATCTAGCTACATTTGGTCGTTAACGATGGCCATACTACAGCCAAAGATCTGGCCATCAATGGCCAAATCTTTGGTTGCGGATCTGGCCTTTTCCGAACAGATCCATGGTGGATCTGACCGGAAAATGCTAGATCGGCACACTACCAACTAGATCCAGTCTCCAGCCACCTTCCGACGGTGGTGGTCGAAATTTGGCAAATAGGGGGGTGGGTGTGTTTTTGTCAATATCTAAACTTTTTTTGGATATTTAGTTAAATTAACAAACCTATGGGGTTTAAAAATAGTTGAATAAAATATAATAGGATTTTCAAAATAGGGAAACCAATGTGTATTTTGGGTAGGATAGGGAAACAAACACAGCCATAGATATTTATGAGATTGACAGAAACACAAGTATAAACCACTGGTTTCAAAATCTTTCATAAACCTTCTCCGAAATTCTAGAAGTCATTAGAAACCGCCCATAAAATTGGTTTGAAACCTGCCTTGAAATTTTATAAAATTACTCAGCATAAAATAAAATTTTTCCAAGTGGAAACGAACATTCAAAGATAATTTCATCGCTAAAAAGGAGTAAAAAAAGTAACGAATCGTACACCTAAGAATACATAATTATATATGAAAACAAAAACTTTTATTTTTCAAAATAAAAGTTTAATTAGATTTCAAATAGAAAAGGTAGGTTTTCTGTCATTTGTTTTCAATGCCATTTATCTTCTATACAACTTTTGATGCAAATGCCACAAACAGCTACGCTTCTTCAATTTTTTACAAACAATTATCTTTCATTTTAATTCTATCAGTTTCCCGGAAGCTCCATAAGATTTTAATTTCAACTTCATATATCGGATGAAAAGTGATGACTCAAATAAGTGTTATGCTATCCTAGTTCCTATCTATATTAATGATTACTCAAATGGATAGAACATTCAAGAGGAAGTAGAAAATTCATATAGTGGGATTAAAACTAATTTCTGCTGTAGCAGTTGAAAATAAAAATAGAAAAATCATAGGAAAAACCTCAAACATGTTATGGATCTGAATCTTCATCAAAAGCCTTTTAGCAAAGGATTGCTGCACCTAGCTAACTTCCTCAAACAATGAAAATAAACTTTTATAAAAACTATAACTCAATACATAAAATAAAAGTCAACTTGAAAAATATATGAATATGCATCTGCAGCCATGGGAGTGAAGGCTTTTCTTATGAAACGATACTCTAATTACAAGGTTCAGATGATGTAAATGCAACATTTAATTAATGAATGAATTCTGATTGAATTTCCACATAATAGATTTATTTTTCTAAAAAATATAAGTCTTGAGCGCAAACTGAAGTCTTTGGTCTCTCCCAGCTCATAAATGTACATTATACCAAATAGATAAATCTAAAATGCAGAGATACAGCACACAGGTATGTTATTACATAATAAATTTAATAAAAAGAAATAACCAAAATAGAATCATTTAAAACAAGCATAACTCATAAAAATAAAATAAAAGCAACCCACAAATTTTAATCCCATCAAAACCCAATTGAATTTTTAGATAAAAAACAAATCTAATTAAGTTCACAGTGTTGAATACCAAAAGAATCAGCAAAAGCAAGACACTCACCAGTTGATGACAATCTTGAAGCGAGTTAGGCCGCAGAGCCTTCTTCCATTTTGATTTTGGTAATTTATGATAATTTAGTCAGTGTGCCATTAGGGATTCAACGTTTATTTTAAAAAGGTGAAGGGTACTGTGGTCATTGCACTTTGAGAAAGAGTAAAGAAATCACTTTGTCACAGAGAATTAAAGAGTATATAAGGTATACATATTTATCTCCCCAACCCTCTCAACTCTCTCCACCGCCACGGCTCCATCCTCCTCGTCTCCGGCCGCCGGTGAGTTTGTGTTCTTTATTATTTTCGTAATTTTGTTACATTATTTGTTATTTAGCTTATTATGTTATTGTTATATGTTCAATTTGAATTTTGAACTGCTATTAGAAATGTGTAGCAATTCTAGAGAATAGAATTAACTTAAATTTCAATTATATTTTCTAGAAAGTAAAAACTGAGGACTGGTCCCGCTTGTTGCAGAAACGTGTGGTTTATTATTATTATTATTATTGTATTTTTGAAGTCTTAGTGAGCACTTGTTTTGGTTATAGAGAGTCAGTTTCTTTGATTATAGTTAACAAAAAAGAAAAAAGAGGGAGGGAGAGTATAGGGGTTAACATGAGAAAATACTGGCATTATAATATCATTTCCTATTTTAAGTTAGAATTCAAGTGGGAAGGTATAGGTTTTACTCACATTTTTTCAACTTTTGAGCCTGCAACGTGAGAAATTATTGTTTTAGGGTTTCAGAACTGGGAAGCATGGTATTATTGTTTTAAATTCAGTTTTTCATTACTATATCTAGGTGTTAGATTGAAATGACCTGTGTTATAGAATTTAGTTTCTTAAGTTTTTGATATTGAACTGAGTTTGTTAGTTGCTTATTGTTTCAGAATCACGTTTGGACTCATTTAATTGAAATTAATTCTACATAAAATTTTGTGACCATGCTCTGATATGTAGTTTTGTAAGATTTCTACATTGATAATGAATTATTGATCTAGATTTCAAGAGCAATTTGGGGTTACTTTTGAAATTAATGTAAAAATAAGTTTAAGGGGATCATAACCCTCTCTCTTTCTTCCCTCCAATCAAGCAGAATAGGCTCTATAAGTTATAATAGCTGAGAGATGAGGAATTTGCAGCTCTTATTGAATCAAACCCAAAAGATAAGACTGCAAACTGCTCTTGAGAAGCTAGAGTCTCTCTCTTCTAAGTCCAACTCTAACTCCTGTGTCACAGTTGCTGATAGCATCCCCATTTATGAAGATGGCATCCTCAAGTAAGTATTCTTTCCTACTCTCATAATTCTTTTCGTTTATTGTTACTATATTTATTATTTGGATTTGATAAAATATAGGGGTCTTTTCTCTTATTATTATAATTATTTTTTGGGGGTTAAATGGAATATAGGGGCCATGGAACATCAGATCGTAAGGGTGAGCTGGTTGCAACTGTCTGTGGAGTAGTTGAGCGCATCAACAAGTTGATATATGTGCGCACTTTACGCTCCAGGTAATCAAAATTTACTAGGCTTAATTAATATTTTAAATGAATTTCAGTTAGTGAAACTTGATGTTAATACTTAGCTATTGATTATTTTCTAGATACAAGCCGGAGACTGGAGACATTGTAATAGGACGTGTTATTGAGGTAATATTGGTTAATAGTGTTTCTTAGGACATTGTAATAACTGCTGAGAAGAAAACTTAATTTATTGGATTGTTTTGAAAATAAATTTCTTTGCTATGCTGATCTTGTTGAATAATCATTGGTTTTGTTGTTAGGTTGCTCCAAAGCGATGGAAATTGGAAATAAATTTCACCCAAGATGCAATTTTGATGCTTTCTTCAATGAACCTGCCTGATGGAATTCAGGTAACAGATTTTTTTTAACTCACTTGTAATGGTCCGTTGATGAGAACTCCCATTAGTAAAGTCTATCAATATAAAGGGCATAAGGGCAGTAGGGTGCTGGGTGTGTGAGTGGGCATGTGTGCTAGTGGGAGTTGGTTGGGAAATATTCACGTGTTGAGGAATCAAGTTGTTAGTGGGAGGAGTATTTTAGTTAAGGGATTAGTATATAAAGGGAGGGCAGTTTAGGGAAAGATAGGCATAATTTCAAAGGGTCATTAAGGGAGGTCCCCAGCTCCTCGAACTGCTGGGAATTATCTGTTCTTTTGGCTTGTTGTTGTTTCTATTTTGTTTTGTTAAGATCTCATTTCTATTCAATCAATACATACAGTTTTAATTCTAGAATTGGATGGCCATATTTTGCGTTTTGGACTGTTTTGTGGCTGGGTTTGTTTTAAATTGACAGAGGTTCCGATCATCCATTAAGTGACATGCTTTTAAATAGTTAAGTTGGATATATTTCTCAGTATTTCAAAGTAGGAGGAGATACCATATGTATTAGTTTATAAAAGAATACACGTTATTGTCTTTTTCTTTCTTTCAGGTAAAAAAGTTTCCTTTACTGTCATCTGCATTTTTTACTTAATCGTGTCATGGTACTTGTAGCTGTATTCCTGAAGATTCAGCAGAGTCTCTTATGTTTCATAACTGATGATCATTCATTTCCTTAACCATAGTCTTATTTATTATGGCTTAAGAAGGCTTGGAAAATTTTATTTTATGGATTTCAGCTTAATTGAAATTTTTTATTTTATGGATTACAACGTGTTTGAAACATGCTTGCTGATGGTCTTTGGCGGTTTTGTACAGGATTGTGATCATCTTCCTCAACACTATGGTGTTTCAGATATATTTTATGGATTTAGCAGTCTCTGTTGAAGCGAAAGCTTCTTTTCTGAGAAAAAAAACACACATGTGCACTCACACCGCTAAAGAGAATCTGTGCAGCAATTTCTTATTATTTGATTTAAAAAAAGTTTGGTTTTCAGTATTATTTTTACCTAATGAATGCTTCCATTCTCATTGTTTTGAGTGGGGATTAATTATATATTTTTTTTAGTTTCAAAATTGAATTGATAGCTCGTCCACGGACTGGGGCTGTGCATCAATCCCTTCTAATCCTAGTACTCTGATCATAACAATGGCATATGTTTCAGTTTTTTATATCAAGGTATCCCCAAATGTCCTAATTTTGAATTGCGGTTTCTATTTATTGTAGAGGAGGAGAACTGCTGTGGATGAACTCAACATGCGCAGTATTTTCACAGAGAATGATCTTGTGTGTGTAAGTGTTTTGCTACAATTTAGTTTACTGTCTCGTATACTTTGTGCAGTCAGAAAGGGAAAATGAATGAATAGTCCAATATGACAAATAACTTTCTGTATTTCAGGCTGAAGTTCGTAGTTCCCAGAATGATGGCAGTTTACAGCTCCAAGCAAGAAGTCAGAAATATGGAAAGGTATATTATATTTATATCTATATGCTACTTGTGCATGTTGCAAACTTCACAGATGCTCTCTTTTATATATCTAACATAAAGAAGAAGAATGCATATGTAAAAGGAAGATATAGGTAAAAGATGATCAATTATAAAAATAGACCGGATGTGTCTTAGTAGGTTTTCTTTATTGGCTGAAAAGGAAAATAGTCCTTAAGAAAAAGAAACTGTGACTCAATAATGCCCAGCGTTGGGACAATACAATACAGCTGTTATATTCCAGCTAACTTGGTGTTGAGCTTTGGAACATAAGGATTTCAAGGTAGACTAAAAGTTGCTTAATATAATGACAACAATGTTGATTAAGATTTCATTTACTTTGCATATGTTGCATTATTTTTCTGTTTTCTTGACTTTCTATGCTTGCATCATTACAACATTTTCTTTTTCATAATTGTGATGTATCTTGTATCAATTGTATAAAAAAAATTTCAGCTTGAGAAGGGCCAATTGCTGATGATCGATCCCTATCTAGTGAAGAGACGGAAACAACATTTTCACCACCTGGAACAGTATGGAATTGACTTGATACTTGGATGTAATGGGTTCGTCTGGGTGGGTGAACATGTTGAAGCTAGAGATACTATTGTAGTAAATGATTCTGAACAGCTAGCTAAGAAATCTGGTGGAACTTCCATGGATCTCGATGAGCAAGTTGAAAATCACACCCCACCGGAAACACGGCAAAACATATGCAGAATTGCTAATGCCATCCGTGTCTTGTCTGCATTGGGTTTCAATGTAATTTTAGAAGTGATAATGGAAACAGTGAAGTTGAGCAACACCATGAATCTTGACATTCATGAGATGCTTGGATCTGAGTTTTACGTTCTCGTCGCAGAGAAAGAGGCAGAAAGGCGAAGCTCATTAAGCAAAAGGAAAAAGTGATTTTAGCGTGTAATCTTAGAACCAAATTTTGAGAGAATTTTTCTTTTTCATACATAGGAAATGAGGATGAGTCTTGTTGTGAGGTGAAAAGGAAGAATTATTTGTATTCAAATATTTAGTTTAAATGTAATATATATGACTGACTGAATTTGATTGTTTTTGGGTCGCACTTGTTGATTTTATGAAGTGAATCCTAATTATATACATTATTAGTTTTATTTTATTTTTATCTACTTCAGATGATTTACAGGTTTTACAAATCAAAATGTGAGAATAATTACTTAAACCCCTTTTTTAGGGATTAAATTAAAATTTGATATTTTCTTAATTGATTTATAGATATTCATTTCTTATTTTGTTAAACTTAAAATAACACTTACACACAATTATTATTCCTTTTTTTAAAGAACATTATATTTTTTTTTCTTATTTTTTATAAAATATAATTGCAATTGCTTAATTTATTTGTTAGTTTAAAGAAATTTTAATGCTAATTTGGAGAATAACTAAAAACAAAATTTTAGTGCTCGAGTGAAGATAATAGTTATGAAAGGGTAAAAGATTTAGGGGATTAAAACTAATTCTGCTTAGCAGTTGAAAATAAAAATAGAAAAATCATAGGAAAAACCTCAAACATGTTATGGATCTGAATCTTCATCAAAAGCCTTTTAGCAAAGGATTGTGCACCTAGCTATTCCTCAAACAATGAAAATAAACTTTTATAAAAACTATAACTCAATACATAAATAAAAGTCAACTTGAAAATAATGAATATGCATCTGCAGCCATGGGGTGAAGGCTTTCTTATGAAAACGATACTCTAATTACAAGGTTCAGATGATGTAAATGCAACATTTAATTAATGAATGAATTCTGATTGAATTCCACATAATAGATTTATTTTTCTAAAAAATATAAGTCTTGAGCGCAAACTGAAGCTTTGGTCTCTCCAGCTCATAATGTACATTATACCAAATAGATAAATCTAAAATGCAGAGATACAGCAACCAGGTGTTATTACATAATAAATTTAATAAAAAGAAATAACCAAAATAGAATCATTTAAAACAAGCATAACTCATAAAAATAAAATAAAAGCAACCCACAAATTTATCCATCAAACCCAATTGAATTTTTAGTAAAAAACAAATCTAATTAAGTTCACAGTGTTGAATACCAAAAGAATCAGCAAAAGCAAGAATCACCAGTTGATGACAATCTTGAAGCGAGGTAGGCCGCAGAGCCTCCTTCCATTTTGATTTTGGTAATTATGATAATTTAGTCAGTGTGCATTAGGGATTCAACGTTTATTTTAAACAGGGGAAGGGTACTGTGGTCATTGCACTTTGAGAAGAGGAAAAAACACTTTGTCACACAGAATAAGAGTATATAAGGTCTACATATTACTCCCCACCCTCTCAACTCTCTCCACCGCCACGGCTCCATCCTCCTCGTCTCCGGCCGCCGGTGAGTTGTGTTCTTTATTATTTTCGTAATTTTGTTACATTATTTGTTATTTAGCTTATTGTTATTGTTATATGTTCAATTTGAATTTTGAACTGCTATTAGAAATGTGTAGCAATTCTAGAGAATAGAATTAACTTAAATTTCAATTATATTTTCTAGAAAGTAAAAACTGAGGACTGGTCCCGCTTGTTGCAGAAACGTGTGGTTTTTATTATTATTATATTGTATTTTTGAAGTCTTAGTGAGCACTTGTTTTGGTTATAGAGAGTCAGTTTCTTTGATTATAGTAACAAAAAAGAAAAAGAGGGAGGGAGAGTATAGGGTTAACATGAGAAAATACTGGCATTATAATATCATTTCCTTTTTAAGTTAGAATTCAAGTGGGAAGGTATAGGTTTTACTCGCATTTTTTCAACTTTGAGCCGGCAACGTGAGAAATTATTGTTTTAGGGTTTCAGAACTGGGGAGCATGGTATATTGTTTAAATTCAGTTTTCATACATATCTAGGTGTTAGATTGAAATGACCTTGTGTATTGAATTTAGTTTCTTAAGTTTTTGATATTGAACTGAGTTTGTTAGTTGCTTATTGTCAGAATCAGTTTGGACTCATTTAATTGAAATTAATTCTACATAAAATTTGTGACCATGCTCTGATATGTAGTTTTGTAAGATTTCTACATTGATAATGAATTATTGATCTAGATTCAAGAGCAATTTGGGGTTACTTTTGAAATTAATGTAAAAAAAGGTTAAGGGGATCATAACCTCTCTCTTTCTTCCCTCCAATCAAGCAGAATAGGCTCTATAAGTTATAATAGCTGAGAGATGAGGAATTTGCAGCTCTATTGAATCAAACCCAAAAGATAAGACTGCAAACTGCTCTTGAGAAGCTAGAGTCTCTCTCTTCTAAGTCCAACTCTAACTCCTGTGTCACAGTTGCTGATAGCATCCCCATTTATGAAGATGGCATCTCAAGTAAGTATTCTTTCCTACTCTCATAATTCTTTTCGTTTATTGTTACTATATTTATTATTTGGATTTGATAAAATATAGGGGTCTTTCTCTTATTATAATTATTTTTTGGGGGTTAAATGGAATATAGGGGCCATGGAACATCGATCGTAAGGGTGAGCTGTTGCAACTGTCTGTGGAGTAGTTGAGGCATCAACAAGTTGATATATGTGGCACTTTACGCTCCAGGTAATCAAAATTTACTAGGCTTAATTAATATTTTAAATATTTCAGTTAGTGAAACTTGATGTTAACTTAGCTATTGATTATTTCTAGATACAAGCCGGAGACTGGAGACATTGTAATAGGACGTGTTATTGAGGTAATATTGGTTAATAGTGTTCTTAGGACATTGTAATAACTGCTGAGAAGAAAACTTAATTATTGGATTGTTTTGAAAATAAATTTCTTTGCTATGCTGATCTTGTTGAATAATCATTGGTTTTGTTGTTAGGTTGCTCCAAAGCGATGGAAATTGGAAATAAATTTCACCCAAGATGCAATTTTGATGCTTTCTTCAATGAACCTGCCTGATGGAATTCAGGTAACAGATTTTTAACTAACTTTGTAATGGTCCGTGATGAGAACTCCCATTAGTAAAGTTATCAATATAAAGGGCATAAGGGCAGTAGGGTGCTGGGTGTGTGAGTGGGCATGTGTGCTAGTGGGAGTTGGTTGGGAAATATTCACGTGTTGAGGAATCAAGTTGTTAGTGGAGGAGGATTAGTTAAGGGATTAGTATATAAAGGGAGGGCAGTTAGGGAAGATAGGCAAATTTCAAAGGGTCATTAAGGGAGTCCCCAGCTCCTCGAACTGCTGGGAATATCGTTCTTTTGGCTTGTTGTGTTTCTATTTTGTTTTGTTAAGATCTCATTTCTATTCAATCAATACATACAGTTTTAATTCTAGAATTGGTGGCCATATTTTGCGTTTTGGACTGTTTTGTGGCTGGTTTGTTTTAAATTGAGAGGTTCCGATCATCCATTAAGTGACTGCTTTAACTGTTACAGTTCAGTGTTCTGCATCCTGGTCAGACCTTAGTTCTCTGCCAAGTAACTAGTAACTGCGATTTGCCAATCTACAAACAAATAGATAGCATTAGATCCGTTAAAAAATTAATTCTCATAAATGATCAAATAATCTATAATACTTAACAAAATGCCAACAAGCAAGCATTTAGTGTACAGGTGAAGCAGCCTTGAAAGTGACTCTACACATCATATATGTAATTCAACAAATTTCATAAGGTGTGTTTTATTATTTTGGGTAGGATTTTTGAAAAAATTGAGTTGGGTGGTTATTATGAGGTAGGATTTGAAAATTAACAAAACCACCCCCCTAGGTTTGTTGATTTAGCTAAACACCTCTATAATAAAATATTGAAAATTAACAAAAACACCCCCACTCACTCATCAAATGCTGGCAGCTGGCCACCACCGCTGGAGGGTGGTCGGCAGTCGCCATAATGGCGCACGATCGGCAAGATCTAGCCGGTCGTGTATCGATATGGCCTTTTCCGGCAAGATTCACAGTGGATCTGGTCGAAAAAGGCTAGATCTAGCTACATTTGGTCGTTAACGATGGCCATACTACAGCCAAAGATCTGGCCATCAATGGCCAAATCTTTGGTTGCGGATCTGGCCTTTTCCGAACAGATCCATGGTGGATCTGACCGGAAAATGCTAGATCGGCACACTACCAACTAGATCCAGTCTCCAGCCACCTTCCGACGGTGGTGGTCGAAATTTGGCAAATAGGGGGGTGGGTGTGTTTTTGTCAATATCTAAACTTTTTTTGGATATTTAGTTAAATTAACAAACCTATGGGGTTTAAAAATAGTTGAATAAAATATAATAGGATTTTCAAAATAGGGAAACCAATGTGTATTTTGGGTAGGATAGGGAAACAAACACAGCCATAGATATTTATGAGATTGACAGAAACACAAGTATAAACCACTGGTTTCAAAATCTTTCATAAACCTTCTCCGAAATTCTAGAAGTCATTAGAAACCGCCCATAAAATTGGTTTAAGACCTGCCTCGAAATTTTATAAAATTACTCAGAATAAAATAAAAATTTTCCAAGTGGAAACGAACATTCAAAGATAATTTCATCGCTAAAAAGGAGTAAAAAAAGTAACGAATCGTACACCTAAGAATACATAATTATATATGAAAACAAAAACTTTTATTTTTCAAAATAAAAGTTAAATTAGATTTCAAATAGAAAAGGTAGGTTCTCTGTCATTTGTTTTCAATGCCATTTATCTTCTATACAACTTTTGATGCAAATGCCACAAACAGCTACGCTTCTTCAATTTTTTGCAAACAATTAGCTTTCATTTTAATTCTATCAGTTTCCCGGAAGCTCCATAAGATTTTAATTTCAACTTCATATATAGGATGAAAAGTGATGACTCAAATAAGTGTTATGCTATACTAGTTCCTATCTATATTAATGATTCAAGGCAAACGCTCCAAAAATTAGAAAGTTATCACTCAAATGGATAGAACATTCAAGAGGAAGTAGAAAATTCATATAGTGGGAACAGGGAAAATCCTCCAACAATCAGAGACAAACAATTTCAAGAGNTGTAAATGAGACTAGTTATTTGTATGCTTGGAAATAGTTTGTATTCCATCTTTAGGGCTTTTGTCTCAATTCTTTACAAAAAATTTCTTATTGATCATGAAATAACAGT